GTTTCGATAGCCGCCTTTGATCGGTTATACAGTGCGATCAAAAAGTCTTTCTATCAAGTAGGCGTCCTAGTTGAGGACGTATGTTGCATGGCAGTTCGTTTGTTATTTAGATGTCAAAAAATTATTTTATAAAAATTAAAACATTGAGCTAATTAAATTGAATTATTCTATGAAACGTCTCAGAACAAACTAAAATTCATAAAAATCGTTCACAGTTTTCTGTCATAATTTACATAAAAAATATTTTGACATTTCTCATTTGTCATTGTGACATTATATCTTCCACAGACATACGTTTTAAATTTCTACGCTTGCTTGATAAACAGACTTTTTGATCGTAGTTATCCGTCGTGCATATTTGAAATAATTACATTGTTATTAAAATCAACGCTCTCGACTAATTAGAGCCCCAATTAAATTTCTCAAAGGATGTTTCGTTTAATTAAAATCACAATAGAGCAAAACAATTTTTCTAAAAAATTCCAAACTTTATTACTGCGTAAAATCCCCAATTTTCTGCTTTGTGTGCATCCCCGATGATCGATAGTCGCCACGCAAACAATGTCATCTCGTCGTATAATAAATGCAAACACTTACCCCATTGCACTTTTATAATGCGTCTCCTTCATGTGGTCAATTATATCAGTGCCATTCCTGGGATTCCCCCCTTCGTCCAAGACTTCAATCAACGCTTTGGCATAAACATGCACAGCGTCGTATAAGTAGGCCGCTTCAGCTCTAATCTGAAATTTTTTCAGCGTTAATTCGCTTTCAATCGGTGCAAATTACTTCGCAAACAAATGTTGCAATTGCATTGAGCGCAAAGCAATAGAAATGCAAATGCAAGGGTTAACAGCCGGGATACAAATTGGGTTTGGGTGCAGAKATTTTTCAACGTGGAATTGTTTGTCTAATTTGCCACTCTGCTAAACTTGAACAAGAATGGTTGTTACCAGTGGCTAATTGTCTAAAGGAACTATTCTCATGTAGTTAGAGTGATCGCAASTTGGATAAGCAAAGTTAGAAGAGGAGTTTTGGGTCAAAAATGGGAAAAATTTAGCTTTAATTAATGCATTTTTAAGATTGTTTCAATTCGAATTTGAGCTTGAATTACAGTAATTGTTGCACTTTCAGCTTCAAATTGTTTCATTGTGATCAAATCGATACTGTCGACATTGTTTTAATTAATTTAATTAATCGAATAAATGAAGAGGTATTTCCATTGAACAGTTTATCATAGAACCAAGAGTCTATTATATCTTGTCTTCTTTAAATCATTTAAATTCCGTAATTTTTTGMGAAAGTGACAAAATTCAGGACTAGACAAAAAATCACTAAATTAGGTCTAAAACGTTTGTGTCAATAAATTTACTAAGAAACGCACTAAATTGGAGAGATTTCGTCAAAAAATAAAACAAATGCCTTGAGTTTGCCTGTTTGTATAAATTTTTGTCAAAATTAATTAGTAGAAAATTCCGAAACTTGCTCTGAAATGCGTTATTTTTTCAGAATTTAGAAGTTTTTTACTGAGAAAGTTACAACATTTGACAGATTTTATCAAAAAAWGTAGAAAACACCAATATTAAATAGAAAATTTGAAATATTTTGACTAAACAAGTAAATAATGCATTTTTCACGAGAAATTAACTGAATTTGAAATTGCACTTTCAGCATTCAATAATTTAATAATAAATCGATCGATCGATCGGTCGATTCTGTTTTAATTAAATAAATAGAGCTTTTTCAATTGTGATGGAACAAAAATAAAATAATATTTTGCCACGACTATACAAAAAATCACTAAAACAGGTCTAAATCACATTATTATTGCTTGTTTCAATAAATTAAAAGCGTTTTTCAGTAAACGCACTAAATGGGAGAAATTTCGTTAAAACAAAGTGTTTATTGCGAAAAAAAATTTTGTA